GGATTAAGCCAAACACAGAGTTCGAGGCTATTTTAACTCAATTTCTCGCTGTGTAATAATTATTTAATTGTTATCATGGCCAGATCAAATCATTTTCAAATTGGCTGATGCAACAGTTTCTTATTTTTGCTATAAATTTTTCTATATATCTATTTTCTGCTTTTCTGCTTTTCTGCCATTGCCAGCAACATTATTTTTATGGCGTGTGTGTGTGTGTGTCTGCGCATTAAATTGGCCTTTAATGGCCATATATCAACTATATCAACTATATCTATAGCCAGCCATACGTATTTATGCTGCCAATGAAGCAATTAACTGATTTTTATTTTTATTTTTTATTGTTATTATTGCTGCTGCTGCTGCTGTGCGTCGTAAAAGCTGAACGCGTTCTTATGTCAGGCTGGCAAATGAAATGTTGTAATATGAGCCCATAAAAAATATTAACAATCAATTGACAAAAGTGCCATTAAAACAGTCAAAAAGGGGGGCCTGTCACAGGCGAAACCGAAAACGGCAACAATAACTGCACAGAGTGCTCTATTCGACAGTGCCCGACTAGCAAATACCCTAGACTCAAACGGCCAGCCCATCTATCCATCTAGAGATATGCCATATTCATTCTGCTTCTAAAACTCGGTACTCATTGTCCGATCTTTTTGTAACTTGCAGAGCTTTAATAGGGCATACAAGAGTTGAATATACTAAAGCGTTAAGCTCTACCTGCGCAAATATAGTTAAATAGTTAAATAGTTCTAAGCCGTCTTTGATATGCCAGAAATTACAGTTCAAGTTTGGTTTATCTGAACAAAACTGAGAATCTATTTACACCTTAAAAGTGAAATACTTTTAATCTCTCTTTAATATAGCAGAGGTTCAAGATTGGTTTATTTGAACAAAACTGAGAATCGATTTTTAGCTTAGATTGAGAAAATGCAATTATATATTCTGTTCTTGTTCTTGTTTCGCCAAGCGGAAATGCTCGACTTGCAGTTGGACTTGATTATATCAGCAGCCATTTTACCCTTTTTCAAACTATTTCAATGGGTTCGGGGCATAAATTATTAATTGTTACTTTTGCCATTATAAATCCAACTGAACAACGTCAACAAGCTGTGGCCTGTCTCTCCCCCCCCTCTCTAGTCTTAGCCAGCAACAACAACAACAACAACAACGACGACGGGTTACCAAATAAGTCGCACACAATTTACAAATGTTAATGATTGATTTTATGTCATGTAATCGGCTGGCAAACTAGTTTGCAGTTTGCAGTTTTGCAGTTTTGCCGTTTCTTTTTTTTTTTATAATTTTTCCAACTTTAGTTGACGTCAAACACGGCGCGACACCGCGAGCCCCCCCCTCCCCTCTTGAACGGTGCAAGTTTTGGCCTTTTATAGCCGCACTTGACGCTCCGGCGTCACACATTTCTTCCGTCCTTGGCCGTAGCAAATACACTGAATTACTGCTGATACCCTGTAATTAACTGGCTCTTGATATGCTTAACGTAGGAGTTGAATATTTTGAGTAGAGCAGTCCAAAAGAGCTAGTCGAAGGGTATACAAAACTATGGCAAAAGAAGTATAAGTAAAACGTTTCTGCTTTGCGTAATTAATACCCTGTAATAAGCTGAATATTGATATACTTGACGTATGCATTGAATATAACCAGCCAGAAGAAGTGTAAGACAATTCCTTTTGCAGAACTGCTGGAAAATGGGAATTTCCCTATAACAGATACCCTGTAATTACCTAATATTGAAACGAATGATAGAGCTTTCAAAAATGTTGAAATGTTTGTTGATTTATTTCCGAATGCTTTCAAGCACAAAATATACTTTAGATCCAACTACGAGAGAACTGGATTGAAGTACAGTAAAAGCTCTGATGACGAACAACTCCAGCTATTAAAAAAAGCAGGCCAACAGCCCAAAAGTATGCTATATTGCTATTCCACAAGGAATCGGTTGTAGTTAATCTAATACCCATAACTATAACTATATAAAAAATAATCAATTATAATAAATTGATTGTTGTCTAAATAAATTCATTTGTTTTCTAAGCTTAAGATCACTTTGTCTTTAATCGCAGCTGAATTCAGGCCTTTGTAAGTCAAGCTCTGCTCACATATGCACATATATTTATATATATGTGTATTTATTTAAAAAATACATTATCACGTTATCATATTATCAGATCATTATCTCGTCCACGCTTTTACACACACACACACACAACACCTAATGGGGCCAAAGACTTTAGCTGCAAGCCAAGCACAAAAAAATATGTATATTTAAAGTAAAACAAAAATTCTCATGAATCTTTTTATTGCATTCAATCGAAATGTGAATTGATTTTAATTGTGTGTGTGTGTGCGTGTGTGTGTGTGTGTGTGTGTGTGTTTGGCATTTCTCGCATTCTTAGAGTACACACAAATCTTGTGCATTTGACGCATTATTTGTTTGTTTCTTGTTAATTCTTCTGGTTCACACGTTCAATGGCCGTTTATTATAATTGCTTTGGCGAACGTGTGTGTGTGTGTGTGTGTGTGCACTTTGTAGCCGTGACTCACTTCCCGTTTCCGTTGCCTGACAGCATGTACAAGCAATACAAATGTTAAACACACACACACACATGTGTGTGTGCTTAAATAAATTGATATCGAGCATTTGTGGCATTTTCTATTTGCTATTTAAAATATAGGTCGCCATTTTTGATTGCAAGCCAACTTGTGTGGGTGTGTGTGTGTGTGTGTGTGTGTTTGTTTTTTGTGTGAATGGTTTTTGTGGGGCAGTGTTGTAAGTTGCCAGAAGAAATCAATTTAATAATAACACTTTAAAGAATTCCAATTAACAGTGTCGTACAAATGACAGCACTGTTAACTGAACATTTACAGCATGTGAACAGCCACGCAAACAGAGATCCTCTGTTATGTTAAGCTAATTGTGCAGCTTAACAGCCACTCAATCAGAGATCATCTGCTGCTTTACAGTATGTTAGGATAAATGTGCAGCTTAACAGGCACCCGAACAGAGATCCTCTGTTATGTTATGTTAAAAGAAATCTGCGGCTTAACAGACTCTTAATCTGAGCTCCTTGTTTGCCATCGCCATATAATTTGCATTGATTTTGCATTTCGATATCGCTGTCATCACCTGGCCACTTAATCAGCTTACGTCTTATTCCGTATGCCCAAAAATAAATTCCTTACTGTTGAGTTAACAGCTGTACGCCTAATGGGCCTATATAGAGGGCCTTAATGCTTAACGAGTGCGGTTCGAAAATTTATGAATTTCAATTCAAATGCACAAAATTCAATATCAATATAAACGATCGCTAAAGCTTAATTATGTGATTTATGCGAGCTTTGAGCAAACAGCAGCAATAATGAAAATTGGCACAATCAGCGGCCGCAGCCCGAAATACTCACGCAAATAATTTCCTCAATGGACTTGTTTAATTTATATATATATACATATATATATTGGTATCAATATGTATATTTGTATGTATATCAATGTATATGCATTTGCTGTGGTACAGTGAAACCTGTGACACGCTTCTCTGCGCTGCAAACTACTCGAAACTTGTATTTCGTATACGTATTTGTATTCATTCCATTTCGCATTCGTCTGTTTTTATTTTATTTTTATTTTTTTTTACGGGGCATTTGAAAAACGAGTCAAAACCAGTTTTTCGGTTCTCCATGCATGCTAAATTGTTTTGCTTTCAATTAAACTAATAAAATGCCAATTGTCGTATATAGCAAAAAAATAAAATACATTGACTGTGTATGTCTGTGTGTGTGTCTGCCGTGTGTGTGTGTGTGTGTGTGTGTGTGTGTCGAACGGTCGCCTAACTGGCTGGCAAAGCTGTAACTGACGCCGGACTCGGCTGGCCAGTGAATGCCTCGCTCGACTCTTACCAATCGAATCTAAAATCAGCCCATCTATTAGATCTATTATCATGCCAGTTCAAAGTCAAACGCGGCGTATGCGCAATGTGTATAAAACTGGAACAATTAGCAATTGTACAGTTGCGTTATTTGTAGCTTGTCTCAAAGCTGCAATTAAACTAAGAGACCAGCTAAAATTCATATTTGATTGAAAGTTTAAGCTAAGACTAAGAATTCCTTGCGTATTTAGATATATTCTTAAAAATATCAGAATTCAGTATTCATTCTATGAGGCTTACGGCTTAAGAAAGCAAGAAATTAATCTTACATTTTCTTCTTTCAACTTGAAAATAGTTTAAAATTGTTAACTAAAAGCTGAAATTGGCCCATACGAATAATTTAATTTTAAATATAGTTTAGAATATCTAAAAATGAAATCGATATCAGATGATAAATAGAACAAGAAAACACAGTTATTCAATTTGTGCGCAAAGTCTTTCTCTGGGGCAAAACAATTTACAGCAACAAGCAAAAATTCTCAACTAGTTTTTGCGGCACGTAAATGCATATTCATATGCGGTAAACGTCAACGTTTTCGCCGCCAGGCAAAGATCAAGCAGGACACAATTCCAAAAACAAAATATAAAAAATAATAAAATAAAACGCTTATAATAATAAGAAGATAAACGTGGTCGTTTCTTAACGGCTTTCGGCTTGATTTGGCTCGAATGATAAGCGTCCAGTGTTTTATTTTATAATGCATATCACGTATACGCCTCGCTGTTCCACGCTGCATTTATAATGAGTCTGTGTAAGTGTGTGTGCGATCACACACACACACAGACAGTTGCATGCTTAAGTTGGCTGGCGGGTTGGCTTCGGTTCGGTGCGGTTGGCTGCGTTTGCCTTCTCAACAGCGCCAGACTCGCTGTCGTCGCTGCCTCTCACAAATGTGTGCACGTCTGTGTGTGTGTGTGTGTGTGTGTGTGTGTGCTGATAAGAAAAAGACAACACCAGCAGCAGCGGCAGCAGCAGCAACAGCAGCAGTTGTTGTCTGGCAACCTCAACAGTTTTGCGATCTTCAGTTTTATTTTTGTTGCCAACAAAGTGGATTGCTCGCGCGGGTGTTTTGTTTGGCATTTGCTAACACTGCTCGCTCTTATTGTTATGTGTACAATAATAATAATACACAGGTTGCTGTTAGCTGTTGTTTGCACATGATTTTCAACACTGTTTAAACATTGACGAAAGCGACCAAAAAACGAAGAAAACAAGTGAAAAAGCAAACAACTTGATAAAATACTCAAACACACACACACACACACACAGAGGAGTGGGAGAGAGAGAGAGGAAGAGAGAGTGAAATAGTTGTGTGTTGCCAGAGATATATATATTTTTTTACGATCTATTACGAAACGTGCAACTATTAATCTTAATAAATACTAATTGGATACAATACGCGCACGAGGCACACGATCAATCCAGAGAGATCAACAACAACAACAGCAATTCAGCAGCCAATTGATGCGCGTCATGCAGCTTGAACGTCACAGCGACGGCGACGGCGACGTCAGCGCAGCTGGAAGCCATAGAAAAACGCATCAAAAGCAGCAGGCAGCAGCCAAAGTGAGCGAAATTAATACACGCACACACTCACACACACAGTTAACATACATATGCATGCTCATCCTATTCCTAGCGCTGTTAAACGAGCGCGCAACATTCACAAACAGACGCCGACACCACCTGCCGCCATTTTGCAAATGAGCTGCTGCTACGGCTGCTGCTGCTGCTGCTGCTGAGCTGAGCTATTAATTTGATGCCAAACAGAACTTAATGCATATTAAATTGCATATTAAAATGCGCCTGCTACAAGCGGTGTCCAGTTGCAGCGAAATGCAAATGCCGCATGTCTAGTCAATTAACAGCACCGTTTACCGCAGGCGCAACGGCCAACAGCAGCAGCAGCAGCAGCAACAACAGCAACAACAGCAACAGCAACAACAACAGCTTGCAACTGCCAACAATTCGCTGTGCCAGTTTATTTGGTACCAAGCAGTCTCGCCATGTCTCTGTGTTTATGTTTTTTTTTGTTTTTCGTTTTTGTTGTGGCCATGGTACCATGCAGTCTCGAGAGCTGTTTTAACAACTTGGGTGGGTTGTTTTAACTGTTGCTCGCAAACATTAAATGTTTGCGTGCCTTGGCTGTATTTGTTTCTTAGATATTCCAGTAGCAGCTCTTTCAGTCTTTAACAGCATAAGGATAAGCTTAACAGCAAACTTTTAACAGAACTCATTGCGCTGTAATTGGCTAAATGTAAATGCAAATTAACAGCACAATTAACAGCACAATTGTCTGGCTAGCTTAACAGTTAATGGCAACAAATGTCGTAGCACGCTTGCGTAGCCAAGCGTTAAGTTGTGGCACCTGCCACAAATATAAAAATGTATAAGTATTGATGCAACCTGCATGTACAATGCACGCGCTTGTTTTTCAGGCATTTCATTGTCACTCATTGTCAATTCACAGTAAAAAATCCATATAATAACAGTTAATTGCGGCGATAACAGGGCGCATTCCAGGCCAAATTTAGGCGCCCCGATAAGGCCCACACACACAGACAGGTGGATATTTGCTTAAATGTTTATCTCTAATATAAATGCCACCGTCTCACCCAGCGGGAAGAGGTGAGAGGGGCATGAAATTCTTAAAACTATTGCGCACAAAAGAATACAAAATTCGTTATAATTGCTGTTTGTCATTATTTTTGGCTCATGACTTCATTCAATGTCGCCTGGCAGCAGGCGGCAGCTTCTACACACACAAAATCAAAGTTGAATAGTTTACAATCTGGCAAATGGACTTGAGCATGGAGCATGGCGAATTGCGTGGCGTGCGCGACTCGCGCCAATGATTCAGTTATATATATATATATATATATATAAATATATATTTGTGTATTGGCGATCAGTTTTTGTTTTATAATGCGTCTACTTGTATGTATGACAGACAGTTATTTAAATTGATACAAAGCGGCAGGCCGACAAATAAAATCAATTGGCAGCTAATCAAAGCACAATGCAAACAAATTGCCAGCGATGACGATGACGATAAATCGATCGATCGATCCATCGATCGTTCTCTATATATGGCCAATCGGTTCCCGTTCCCGTTCCCGTTCGTTGGCTCCTGTTTGGTGGACAACGATGACGCCATCGGCAACACGCACACATTTACAGCTAACAGCTGCTGTTAGAGCTAAAGCTACAGCTACAGCTGTTGCTCTGTTACGGGCTGTTACTTTATGCCCGTATCGATTATGCAATTTATGCGGCCGGCCCAAAGTGTTAAAAATAAATGCATCGAACTCGAACTCGTTCTCGAACTCTCCGCTTGATGCCCATAAATCGTGCAATTCGAATCCAATTAGCGCAAGCAGAGGTCGTCGTGTGGGTAACGCGAGACAGCGCCAGCTGCTGTTAACACTCCTCGACGGCAATGTTAAGTGTAAAGCCTGGCCGTAGACCATTAAACGAAAACGAAGTGGCGCCATCATTGAAAACTTGCACTTTTTTCCAACACTCTGCAATGTTACGTCAATTATTTATGTGCCCGTATTTTATTTAGTATTTTAATGGCACTCACGTGTCGTGCGGCAGCTGCTAATTATACTACATCTAAATAAGCCCAAAAATAATATATACTATAATATACTATAACTAACTTTTTTTTTTTTGGCCAACTGTTGAGTTGCGCACTGAGCTCGATTTTAATGGCAACAGCATACGGCAGAACATTTGGCAAAACTGATTGATGAACTTTTCTACTTTGCAGCTAGCCATAGACATTTGGCCATAAATCAAATGCGACAACAACAAAAATGCGCTCAACTTAATTGAAGGCATCAACAAGCCAATAAAAAATCAATGTCAATAAACACACACACAGAGAGAGAGAGAGAGGAGAGAGAGAGAGAGAGAGCGAGGAGGAGAGCATATAGAAAATGCTCATAAAGAAGCCAAAGACGAAAATTCGATGAAATATTTCAACAAATTGTTCACATGTTTTTGTTGTTATGCCAAATAGCGACGCTGTGTCTGCTTTGAATTTTAATTCATTTTCAACAAACACACACACACACACACACCCACATGCACACACAGACACACGTAAGCTGACAAGCACGCGAAATTTTCACACACGCCGCATTTTCAGTTATTTTGTGTTGTTGTTGTCGTTTTTTTTTTTTTTTGGGCTTAAAGCAAAAACCAATTGGCGCACATGCAAAAACGAAAGCGCAATGGAAAAATTTACAATTTTAATTAAATTATTCAATAGCTTGGAATGTGGAATGTATGTCGACGCCGAACGTAATTGAAATTGAAGCGGGCCATGCAATTGATAAAAATATGCAAATGCAGCGACAATTGTTATTAATTTAATTTAATTTATATTTTTTTGGGGGCCTGTCTGATGGCGAACACAAGCAGCATTTATTTATATGCATATGTGTGTGCGTATGTGTGTGTGTGTGTGCTTAGGTGTGACCATGCAATTTGTTGTTGGACTGCGGCTCGCCTTTGAGCCCAGTTGGACTCGTAAATTAGCCAAGTCGACAGATTTGCAAATAATGCAATAAACATTGAAATTGCGCGTTTTTATTTATAGAGAGAGAGAGAGCGTGTGTGTGTGTGTGTGTGGACACCTTTATGCAGACGCCGAATGCAGATGGGCAACAGATATAAGCAAGATTCAACACGAAATTCATTTTATTTTTAGCACCACACTTTGCAGTTGCAGACAGGCTCTATTTATAGTTGCCTCTGGTTCTACGATTACGATCTACAAGTACTCGCACTCTCCCCCCCCTTTCGCTTTGATTACCCATGGCCGACGTCCAAAGCGTCGTGGCCCCGCCTGCCAGTCCACGGGCCCCTTTTGCGGTTTCAAGGTTCAGCTTGGCCCATATCCATTTACCCAGTAAGCGGTTAGCTGCCGCACGCTAAACAAAGCAGAACTTAAGTGTACGACACGGGCTATTAATAGCCGGGCCAGACAGTAAATTGTGCTATTTTTTAAACTATTTCCGGTACTCGGCTACTTGAGCATTATCAGATCAGAGGTAAGTATAGCGCTGGCAGAGTTCAACTTCAGGTTGCAGCGACTACGAAATCTAGTTTAAGTGTAGAAATAAAAAAAATAAAAAACCAGAGATTTCTTTTATTCTTATATTTAAACTCGTGTGTTTGTTAATTATAAATTTTTGATTTGTTTTGTTTTGTTTTCTTTTTTGCAGATGTGTTCCCGCAACATAAAGATCTCGGTGGTGCTGTTTCTTGTCTTGATACCCATATTCACAGCGTTGCCACACAATCACAATTTATCGAAGCGCAGCAATTTCTTTGATCTGGAATGCAAGGGCATCTTCAACAAGACGATGTTCTTTCGCCTGGATCGCATCTGTGAGGACTGTTACCAATTGTTCCGTGAGACGAGTATACATCGACTATGCAAGTAAGTGTTTGCGATCAGCTAAGCCAACGCCCACTGACTAACCAAATCCAAGCAAATTCGTCTAGCAATTGAGATACCCTATTCCTACATTTCCTATCCACTCTTCCTTAACCTCAACGACAGGGTCCAACAACAATTTGAAAGCAATTCAAGGCGCCAAATCGCAAAAAAAAAAAAACAAGAATACTTTTCTTAAAAAATATGACCCTGACATAGTTATACCAAAACAAAAAAAAAAACACAGGAAACTATTATATTTATAAAAACAAATCTATGTATCTAGCTGTTTTCTAGTTTTCTCTTGTACATTCTCTCCAACTATCTATCCATCTATCTATCTATCTATCTATCTGTCTATCAATCTATGCTAGCTGTATCTTCTTTCTGTCTATTTGCTGCAGGGCCAATTGTTTCGCCCATCAAACCTTCGGAGAATGCCTTAAAGTGCTGCTCATCGATGATGAAGAGATTGTACAGCTGCAGCATTATCTAAAAGTTATCAATGGCTCGCCCTATCCCTTTCACAAGCCCGTTGTCTATAAATATTAGATGTCTTATACATTGATTTTCTACTTAATTTCTAATTTGTTAACTTGTGTGCTTCGATTTGATTTGATTTGATATGATTTATTTGAAACTTTCTTGATTTTGTATTATTTGATTTGTACGTTTGTTTGTTTTCTTTCTGTGTGCATTTTAGGAAAGACTGCTTTGATTCCAAATGGTTTGGCGAATGCGTTAAAGTGCTTTTAACACCAACAGAAGAAATAACAAATTTACAACATTTTATAAAAGTAGTAAATGGCTCGCCCATATCATTCAACATGGCGCCGGTTACATAACTCGAAGTGGTTGGTTAGAACCACCACCGAATACCACCAGAAGCCACTCACACGCACGCACACGCACACGCACACGCACACGCACACAGACACAGACATCCACCTATCCGCAGTTACACACGCAGCCACACGCAGCGACACGCACACAGGCACACACACTCACGCGATACACACAACGAAATGGAAGAACAAGTTCAAGAGATTCCAGTTCGCATATGGTTCGTTTCGGTTCGTTTCGTTTCGTTTCGGTTCGGTTCGGCTCGGCTCGGCTCGGAACTTGAACCACACAATCACAACAACAGAAACAGCAGCAAGAACAACTATAACAATAACAACAACAACAACGACAACAACAACAAGCAGAACAACAAATTAAATGTTTAACGCCCAAATTTAATTCGTACTTATTTATTACTGTATGCCTTACAGTTTTTACTATATGTGTTTTTTAAAAAACGAATTATTTTAATTAATTTATTGAAACGTTATGCGTTTGTTGTAAGTGAGGGACACGGGAACATATGTGGGGGGGCCGCGGGGGGCAGGGGTATATGTATGTATGTACGGGAACGAGTGCGAGTGAGCAAGCACACACACGCACGCAAGGGGGGAAAAACGGGCGAAAGTACGGTATCAGGGAGGTGGGGGTCTACCTCTCAGTACCATGACAGCGTACCCCGTAGCCGAAGAAGTATTTATTTCTAAGTATTCTTAGCTTGTTTATTATTGCGTTATGTATGTAAAATAAAAGATCCATTGTTTTTTATACTTATTTAATGTATAATTATTATTTTTTATTGTATTTAAAAAAAAAAAAAAAAGAAGAAGAAAACAAAACATAAAAAAAAAACTATAAAACAAAAATATATCGCGTATTCCAAGCAGCATTTACATCAAAGGGCAGACAAAAAAAGGATAAAAATACTGAAAAAAGAGAAAAAAAACAAAAGCTATTCACAGACACAAACACACACACACACCACACACACACAAACACACGCACACACAAGACCGAAAGTATTTTGCAAATGTATTAGATTTTTGTGCTATTTTGTAAAGTTTTAAAACATAATTAGCGTAAAATTTGTTGGCAAAAAGAAAAGAAAACAAAAAAAAAAAAGAAAAATTATATATCCACGAATACATAAAAATATTTAAGCCTATAACGCAATTTGTGCAAAACACAAACAAAACAAAAAAACCTTTGGTAAAAACACGCAAAAGCGAACAGAAAAAACAAAACTGCATTCGAAATGTAGTTGAAAAAAAAAAAAAAAAAAAGAAGAAAAAAAAATTATTAATATTTATGTTAAATAATGAACAAAACAATCGCTGGCTATTTGAGGGCATCCAAAATTGTGATAAATGAAATTAGAATGCGACACTGACCAGGGAGAGCGCAAAAAGAGAGCGCACAACGTGAGAGCGAAAAGGCAAAGAGCGCGAGAGCAGAGAGCGTTCGCAACAAGTGCAGCAGCTGACGTAGATGCTTGGCGCGTTTCCGGCGCGACTAAAAACGCGCGCTTACCGTTTTTATTTTGTGGTACGTTTTCAGTTTGAAATTTCTAATTTTTTTTTATATATGTATATATATTTTTACGTTTTTGATTTTTGCCATTTGTTTTGTCAAGTGCAATTGCCATTTTGAATTTTTCACCATGGACGAGCGGCCAACAATGTTTTTTGAACGGGCACAAACAAAACAGATTTTTTGTCTTTTGGCTCCACACTGTGTGAGCGGGGCGGGGCGCCTCAAATAAAAACCCCTTCGCACTTTTACTGATCATATTGTAATGCTTGGATTTCTTTGCAATTCCATAAAACAGGCAAGACTGCTTCGGATCGCCGTTCTTCAATGCCTGCGTCGAGGCGCTGCAGCTGCACGAGGAAATGGACAAGTACAACGAATGGCGCGATACCCTGGGACGCAAGTAAACGGACGGACGGGCTTGACTTGAAGGCGGCATAGAGCCATAGCTAAACGCATAATACGAGTTATCCCTACATATATTATATACTCTCTTTCACACACACACACACGTACTACCGACAAATACAAGAGAACAAGCACACGAGTTAAATTAATCACCGAAAATACGCGAATTACTCTTAAGTGAAAATGAACATAATGAATATATAATGCATAATAATACTAAATAATAAACATACTCAAGTAAATATATATATATATATATGACAGTGTAACATTTCTTCATGTCTGTTTTTCTTCTTGCTTAGAAGGTTTTGTACAATTGTTTTCGCTTTAGGGAGCCCCGATTTAAGTTTAGTTATTCAACTCTCTTTATATATATATATATGTATATGTATCACGCCAGAATTATGTATCTTCTTTTATTTTTATTATTTTTTTTTTTTTGGTTCAAGCAAAGGACAAAGCAAACAAAAGAAATGGAAACGAAAAAATGTCTGATGTATATAAAGATAAATAATTTGTTTTTTTTTTTTTGCTACACATACAAATACCTTACATATATGATATTTTGTAAATTTTTTGCCTATCCTTTAAGCAATTAAGTTAATTTGTTACGTTTACGTTCTAATTCTAATTGCATTGCGCGAAGAAATCCACAAAACACACACATAATTACCACACAGCATATTTCGATATTACATTATATGTACCCTAATTAATTTAAACTTGTTTTGGATCTAGTCGTAAAATATAAATAAAAACTGTATATTTCAAGTGAAGAAGTTGTACCAATTTTTGCCCGCACTTTGGGCTTGCATTAGAGCTTTATTCATTTTTTAAATGTGAGTTGTTTTTCTTTTTTCAAGTTTTACATCGAGTGTGTTGGAATTCAATTGAAAATCTTGGGCAATCTATTCCAGTCGCGCGTGCGGTTCACTTGAGATGTATGAAATGCCAAGTGTCGACTGTAAGACAATAGATAGAAGAGATTTGTTTACAAATTACACAATATTTATTAACAATTACATTTAACAATAAATAAACAATAAACAAGCAAAGCCAATTACAAAAGTGTGCATAGATCTAAAGCAATATTTACAGCAGGACATTTGGTTTTGGTTTGTGTCGATTTGATTTGTCTTTGGGTTAGTATAGCATGCAGAATTGGAATTTGGAATCCAATTTTGTGCTGTGTTTGATTTGGCGTGTATTAAAGCTTAGCGGGAACATAGTAAACCTTACCTGTGTCGACCACTTCCTCGACCTCGCCGCCATCTGGGGCTTCATCGAGTATTTTGGCAGCCTCTTCTTTGCCAATTACGAATTCCGAATGGCGATTGGTTATATTTTGGCTAGAAATGCAATTAGTTTGATATGATATTATGTTATATGATAAATATAAACAAACCAAGCTATTTCCGGCGTGCCCACATTGGACTGATTGATCAGGGTTTGCCAGAACTTGTGCGTCTCCGCAATGATGGAGGTGGCAAAGTCTGCGCTCTTGGCATCTCCATTAAACGCAAACTGATTCTCTGGCTTGCCATCGGGTATTTTGTAAATCTAGGCCAAATTGAAGGCATAGCATTAATAAAAGAAAATAAATATATATAGAATGTAAGTCCGATGAGGAAGTACCTTGAACCACTCGACGGTGGCACGCAGCAGACCCGGAAAATATTGATCTACATCGGAAACATCGTTGACCTTTGAGGCCAGCGGATCGTTAACATTGATTGCAATGATTTTCCAGTCCGTTTCGCCCTCATCGATGAGCGCGATGGCGCCCAGCACCTTGACCTGCACATCGCCGCGTTTGGCCACACGATACCCGATCTCGATAACGTCAATGGGATCATTGTCGCCCTTGCAGCCAGTGGAAGGTTCAATGTGATTGGGATTCTCCCAGGTCTGTGGCAGGGCGCCATAGTTCCAGATGTAGCCCTTGTGGGGAAAACAATTGGCCACAAAACGCAATTTACCCTTCTTGATGTCCTGCTTAATGGGATTCAAGGGCGTCTTCAGGCTAATCTAAAATTGCATTTCAAAACACGCCATTCGAATGTTTATCAAAATTATCTATCGATAATTATGCTATTTACCTCCATTTTGGCGTTCGTCCAACGTGGCACCTCGACGACCATGTTGTAGATGGTCTTCTCCTCGTTGGCGTACAATGGAATGTCTGGGTGAAATGACATTGCCGCAGTTGTTTTCTACAGCAATAATATTCAAATAGCAATTAGCAGTTGTAATTTATTTGCGTCCGAAAAACTGAGCACGCAAACGCTTGATTAATTAAAACAGCGAGCGCAAAGGTAGCCACGCTGTTGACAAGTTCTTCAAACAGCAGCTGGATATTGAATTTATGACTCAAATTAAGATATGCTATATCCGTTTTATAATCAAAATTCCATTAAATTTTAAAGTCCACAGGTCGTTCGGCATCAACCGATTCACCTTGTCCGGTGTCACCGGCAAAGCTTGCGCCGGCCGCGCGCGAATTGCTGATAAAAGCAGCGTTTTTTTTTGTTTTTTTCTTTCTTTTAATTAACAGCAACTTGTTGCATAATTGTTTATTTCAATAGTTGGCTGCTATGTTTTTATTTTATTTGGGCTTAATTACCTAAGGAGCGGCATTTTTGCGCTCCTTTTTGCATACTTACTGAAATATAGGCTGTAGTTGGGCGAGTTTATGGCGCCTTTTGCAATTGTTTCGTACAGCGGCATTTTTAAGTTTGTTTTCCGTAGACTCTGGATATGTAATTGCCTATAACTGCGGCTAAATGTTACTTCTGACACTGCACAAATTGGCCGGAATGAACGCCTACCTAGTACACGTGAGAAAGCAATATATGAACTCCTTGTAATTTCTGCGAACATTCTGCTTAGCTAGTGTTGCCAGACTTGGTGGTAAAAAAAATACCAAAGAAAATACTTTAATTACATTGCGATGTGCTGACTGCTAACAAATTGGTTGAAACTATAATAAAAACTGCGTACAATATGTCACATAGTTATTTTTTTTAAATACACAAAAACAGCTCGTTTTCATGTTTTCACTGTCATGTTATTGACTTTAATATTTGGTATTCGTGGAATTTCGCCACAGTGAGGCCGTATATATGCCAAGCAATTGATTCGATTATTTTAAATAGCTAATCGAATAATACTAGTTGTATCATTCTCCACGCTGACAAAAATTCAGAGAAATTGTAAGTCGTCGCTTTGATTTTGGGATAAAAATTGCTACTCGGCAACCTGATGATCAAGGTCTTTGCATAAACGCAATACGTATACGAATTTTTAAGCTTTCTACCCGACTTCAAATACACAGCATACAGTGCTGCAA